GCCTCGCCATTTCACTCCATCGTCAGAGGCGACGTTGATTAAAGTCAACGTTGGAGCACCTATTTCCTCGGTTTCAACAAGTAGCGTGAATCTGAGTTTATGTTATTCCGAGTAAATACATTTTTGAGGCCCGAATCACATTAGGTCTTGCTTTGGCTTCCGCCCTCTCAACCCTATCCAGCGGGCTGTTAGTCACTTTAGGCTGGTGACTTCGATTACATCTTCCTCCGACTAGAGTCATAAAGCGGAACCGCATTTCACACCGGTTTTCACATTGCAATGTGGGTGTGGATATGTGAGCATACAGTCATGCGCGAAAGAGAACATAGCTTACAGCAGTGGGTTTTGCCAATTTTGACACGTTGCATATACAGTGTTCTAAGTCCTGCATGCAACTTTCATGACGAAATTTAACTTGGTAGTTTAGCATGTATCTGGACACTTTACTTTCCTCAACTGAGTGGATTTAATAATTAGAAAGGCTTTAGTTTGGAAAACTGCCCTCTTATTCAAAGTTGTGCAGCGAAACAGGCACTAATTTTGACTAAATCATGAGTAAATTTATATCGAAGAAATTCGCTATGCTATAAGGTACGACAGAACCAAACTTTTTATCAGTATGCATTGTGTTATGGAAGAATTCTAGAATAAGTAAAAATATGTGGAAAAATTATTCCTTCCAGAACCGGAAAATTTTGTCCGAACTTGCTCAAAGGGAAGTGAAGCCAAGTTTAAGGAAGCAAATTTATTTTCAGAAACAAGCAGCAATTTAAGTTTTAAATATTATGCTTATTTAACTTGTGAAATTTTTTGTACAAAATGCAGTAAATAAAGTTTTCGTCGCATTTTGTTTTACTGCACGGCTCACCTTGGAGTTTAAGCAACGTGTCCGCATATGTTACCACAAAGTAATGTAAAGAAGGCCTTATTGAATGTAATGTAGAAATATACTTTTTTGTAACCTATACGTTCCGTTTATGCTTTATTTAGAAACGGAACAGACAGAAGACTAATAAGTACTTCAAAAAAGCTATATATATATATATATATATATATATGGCCAGTATTTTTTGCATTCGCCAGGTTATAAAAAATCGTGAAATTATTCCACTTATGCGGAAAATAATCCATTATAATCAGAAAAGTGAGTTCTTTTATCCCCAGTCAAATTGAATCGTTTCTCTTCAGGTAAATTCAGGAACTTTCAAGGAAAGGCGTCCTTTGGGAAAATTAGTAAGTTTATAAAGTAAATTTTTGACACTGGATCCCCAGGTCGTCGTCAGACTTGAGAGTAATGTGCAAAGAACAGAAATTTCAAGAAAAGGCGTTCTTTGGGAAAATGATTAAGTTTATTCAATTTATTCAGAAATTGTCAAAAGTCTCCAATTTCATTATGATATTACCTTGGAAAGTTAATAAACACAGAAATTCGTCGGCTGAATATCCAATTAGAACACTTTTTAAAGAGATAACCTAGTACGGAAAGTTTTCTTATTAATCTTAGGATTAAAAATGTTTAAGTTATCTTGCGAACGTTATTTTTTCTCGAAAATGTGGTTTGCTGTTTTGAGGCATTTCTAAATATGATCCACATGG